GTGAGGGCGCGCCCCTGGACCCCGCGGGAGGGGACCGCGCGGTGCACCGAGCGTCAGGGCCCCTGTCCGCAGGAAGCGGAGCCTCCCGGAGGAGCCGTGCGTGCTGCAGACAAAGCTGCCGCCACCCCGCGGCGGGGGTTGTGCGCTCTGCGAGATCCTTTTTTGCAAGAAATGCAGGAACCTGCACAGCAACCCGGCCTACGTTGCGCACTGCGTTCTGGAGCACCCGGATCGGGGTGAGGCGCGGGCTTCGGGCGGGACGGGGTGGGGAGCCTCGGAGTGCCCTCCCCCAAAGCCGTTGTGCCCTCCATTCTCTCCTGACCCTAGACTCCCGCAACTTTCTCCTGTACCCGGACGCGGAGCGCCCTCCCGCACATCCCAGAGCTGCCCCTTCTCAGAGCCACTCCTCCCCGGAGCGCCCCCCACAGGCAAGCAGGCCCACCGTGGATGTGGCGGTCCCACCTGTCGTCTGTCGCCCACCCAATGCAGAGCCCAGCGTCACCTGGAGCTCCATTCCTCCTATAGTGTCCCCGGGGGCTCCCGTTCCCTGGCATTACCCAGCGTCCCCTGGCACAGCCTCACACTCATCTCTTGGGTATTTCAGGTCCTCTGGCCCACTGGACAGAAGCATCGCCTAGCGAAAGTAACCCCCGGGTTCTCTCACCCCTCTGAGAAACCTGCTCCTTCCCCTCAGATCATTCAATAAAGCTGTAAGCAAAGTTTCAGTGCCTTGAGATGGGGCGAGGCGGCTCCGGTGAGCGTGATGCAATGGACCCTCCTTCCCTTCTGCAGAGGTTCCAGGCAGAGGGAAGGGCAGGCGGAGAGCCTCCTCCCTCCGCCTCCCCCGGGACAGGGCGGAGCAAAGCACTAGCATCCAAGGGCAGTCAAAGGCCATTCCCCCCCCCGCGCAGAGGAAAAAAATGAAGGCACAGGGCCAGGAATGCCCGTGGGGAGCAGAGGGCTGAACCTCGCCAAACCATTCTCCCCCTCCCCTGGAAGCCCCGGTCTGGCTGAGGTCAATGTGCTAAGGTCAATGTGCGTGCAAATGAGGCACCAGCAGGTGTAGAGGGGGAAGGATCTGAGAACCAGATGCTGAAACGCTGAGACTGGCTGAGGCAGAGAAGACAGGGAGGCTGGGGGAGCTGGTTCCTTCTCCAGGAATCCCAGCTATTCCTGGCCAGCCAGGAGGAACTCCTGGAACGCTGCCTGTGTGGGCTGGAGAATGGAGCCACTGTGAGCACAAGGCTCCCCCAGCCCGCAGAGCCCCCAGTGCCTGCAGCGGTGCAGACCTCCAAAGAAGCCTGTTCTCTCCCTGCCACAGGTGGTTCTCCACCTGGCCTGAGGAGTGAGGGGAGGGGGCAAGGAAATTTAGCTTTTTGAGGCTCCCTCTTCCCATCACAATCACACACACACACATACAGCCCGCTGGCCTGGGCTTGGCCAGAAGGAAGAACATAGCCTCCACCTCATCGGCATCCATGTCCACCTGCTCTCACTGGAAACTATTCCAAAGAAGGCTGACTTGTGCCTCCAGGCCCACCAGCTGGGGACACCTCTTTATTCCAGCCTCCACAAAAAGCGGGGGCTCAGCAGGACTGCATCAGTCTCCCTCTTGCTCTGGGTCCTGACCCCCTCAGGGCCTCTGAGGTTGGAGACCCTTGTACCCAACCTACCCAGGTTTTCTGGGGGTGAGGCCTCTGATTAAATATGATACAATTCTCCAAGAATCGAGCCAGAAGGTCCTGAAAGGAAGGTGACAGTCTTGCAAAGCGGTCCCAACCTCTCTGCTGAGATGTGCATCCTCTCTGGTTGCCCAGTGCTGCTGCCTCATAGGCAGGAACTGCACCTTTAGCAGAAGAAACAAAATCCCCAGGCTTGGGGAGGAAAGAGTCCTGTGGGGTCTGGGACCCTTTTTGGTTCCTCCTTGGATTGATCCCAGCCCCAGTTCCATGTGGTGGGGACAGCACCAAGACAACGCCACATTCTCCAGGGAACAAATGCGGACAAACTTCTCTGCTGTGTCTTCCTCAGGGAGGCTCAGACTTCCAAAGCAGTTTCTGCCCCTGGGACAGGGGATACACGTTGGCCATGAAAGCACCGAAAGTTCACTATGAGGTGGGGATGCCTTCAGAACAAGGCGCCCCCTGAGTTGACATGCCAGCAGCCCATCCAGGGCAGTTCTGCTGCCCAGCGGCCTGAAGCAGTCACCCGTAGTTTGGCCTGGTCCAGGTGCCAGTAGCGGTCATCTCTGAAGAAGATGATGGAGCCATCAGGCTGGGGCAGGGCACCGCTGACCTCTTCAGGGACCCCACCCCAGTCCTGCAGGCCTCGGGGGTAGTAGGGCTCCACTTGCAGTTCCCCTTGGGCCAGCACGTAGTAGCGGGCGCCCTTGAAGAGGATGAGGCGGCTCAGAGGAGGAAAGAAGAGGGCCGCATCGGGGTGGCGAGGCAGGCCCCCTGCCCGGCACAGCTGCAGAGAACCCCACACTGACTTGGGGCCGCGAAACCTCCAGCATCGACTCCCTGTGGGGCATTGGGAGAGCCAGGGTGAGCTGGCAGCTCTCACCCTTTGGTCCTGCACCCTGACTCTGTTCCCCCTACTCCCTCTTGTGTTGGAGCCCAAGGTGGTTAATATTTGTGATAAAATGGATCATACTAATATTTAGTTACAAACAGTAGAGGAGGGACTGTTGTGGCCTGGACTTCCAGCAGGGGTCAGCAGAGGGCAGATAGTGCTAAAGGAACATATCCGCCCCCTCCCTGGGTGGGGGGTGAGGGGTGTCCCTGGGTGAGGACTGGACTCCAGGGAAGGCCAGGGGCTTACTTCACTGCCATTACCACTAATAGTTCTAGGAGGGGAGGGAGTTTTGTTTTGTTCACTATGGTATCCCAACACCTCCACTGTATCTGGGCATAAGAAGGCACTCAGTCTTTCTTGAATGAATGGATGGACGCTACCTACCGAGGTACTACACCGCACACTGCTCAGACATGCTCTTTCCATCCCCCTGCCCCAACACACCCAAGGGATGGTGTTCTCCATTCAAGAAACTCAAGCTCCAAGAGTTAAGTGACATGCCCACTGAATTGCACAGCTCAGGAGTAGTCCTCAGCTTCCCTCTAGAGTCTTCTCTGAAACTCTCCACCCTCTCTCTCTAGAACAACCTTGACACCCCCCTCTCCAATCTACCACTAAAGGAATCTCCTGGTAGAGTTTCCTCGGGCCACAGGGAATTGAGATGCCGCCCCTCTTTTGACCTTGGGCAGGACACCTTTCTTCTGTAGGTCTCAGTGTTCTCATCTGCCCCAGAGTTGGTACCTTTGAAGAAGTAGAAGTCTCCATTCTCCAACGACACTGCAGCAGCCTCAATGTTGGGGGGCAGCCCGACCCACCTTTCCTGCAGTGGGCGGGGCTCTGAGACATTGCCATCAGCTGTCACCTCCCAGAAGTGGCTCCCTTGAAAAATGTACAGTCGCTGTTGCCCGTCTGCCCAGAGAGACAAGAGAGAATTGAGCTGTGACCATCAGCCTCCTGCCTTCCTTCTGGGGAAAGTGCATTCCCTGGAACCCAGACTCCCCAACTGACCAGAGAGGATGCAGTGTGCACAGTTGGGGTAGAAGGCACAGCGTGCAGGGGAAAGTGTTTAGCTCGGCGTGAGCTTGTCACCTTGCAGAATCCTTGTGGCTTGGGATTTCTGGATTTTATCATTTATACCTCCGCCCCCCACTAAACTCCAGCTCTGGAGACCCCTGGAGATGTGGGGGAGGAGGGAGGAGGAATCAAGGCATGGATGGGATCCTCTTACCTACAGTGATGGCATCGAAGGAGGAGTGGCAATATTTAGGACCCTGGGCTTCGGGGTGACTTCCCTGGGGTCTGTGGGGTTCCCAGGCCTCAAAGTCAGTGAACAGCTTTCCCGGGAGCTGGGTAGTCACAGAGCCCCCTTGGGGCTTCCCTGCATGGGGAAGGAGACGTGGGAGAGAACGCGCAGTGGTTGGGGGGAGGTGTTGAGGGCTCAAGACCTCCCCCTTGGCTCCTTTCATCATGATCTGATATGAGGGGCAGGGAAGGAGGGCAGGGGTAGGGGGTTAAGAATTGTCTTTGGTTGGTGGTGTTAACCGCAGCGCTAAACTCAGAAGCCCTCTCTCCTATCAAACAGTCTGTGAAAGAGGCACCGACCGGTAAAATTGAAGCGGGGACCAAACAAGGGTTTGGAACTAAGACGTGCAAAGCGTACTCTTCTCTGAGTCCTGGACAAAGCAGATGGATGGCATGGGCGCGGAGTTCAGGCGCCCAAGCTGTGTTAATCACAGCGCTTAAGATAATTAGGTCACTATACTTCACTTAGGACAGTGAAGCAGAGTCCAGGAAGCTTCGAATTTGGCACCAGCTCCTGAACCCTGGTCTGCAACTTCCTAGCTGTGTGACCTTTTACAAGTTACCTAACCTCTCTTACCCCTGTTCTTCTCAACTGTGGACAAAAAGATACTTACCTCATGGGTGTGCTGTGAGTCTGTTAAGTGCCTGACCCACGGTAGACACTCATGAAACAGAGGCTTTTATTATTACATTTGTGTAGGTTTCTTAGGCTACAAAGCATATTCATACTCCCTAGAACAACAACCTTGAGAGGTAAGCAGGGCCTCAATTATTATCCATTTTCTCAGAAGGTAAAACTGAAGGCTCTCAGAGGGAAAATGCTTTGCCCAAGAGCAACTACCAGTCAGGAACAGAGACTTGAACCCAGGGCTTCTGGTCCTGCCCACCGCACTACGCACTGAGGGAGACCGCGCGAGGTGCTGAGGAGGGCCTGGGGCCAGGCAGGTCCCGGGGTGGCAGCGCAGGCCAGTTCTTTATGGGGGAGATCTTCCTGAGTGCAAGCTTGGGAGAAGTGGGAATCGGCGTCATGGAGGGGGAAGGTTGGGGGATAGACGGAAAGGCACAGCTGGGAGCAGGACCTGGGGTCTGGGGTCTGGGGGAAGAGGCGGGACTGAGGATTGGATGTGGGTGATGGGACAGGGGTGTGAGAGGAACTGCGGAGGCGGGGGTTGGGCAGGAATCAGGAATTGGGACCCAGTTCATAGGGGTTGATAAAGGGCAAGCCCGGGTCGAGCAGGAGCTCGAGGTTCTTCCAGATTTCAGGGGAGCCTAAGGGTTTGGAAGGACCCGTGACCGGAGAGGGCAGGTTCCTGCGCTTAGGATGGGCATCCAATTTGAGGAGCGGGTACCCAAGCACTGCAGGCAAGGGGCGGCGCGAGGGGCAGGGCTGGGGCCGGGAGGGGCGCGGCGGGCTCACCGTACAGGCTCTGCACGGCCAGCACGTCGTCCCAGCTGAGCAGCGCGTCGCGGCCCAGCCTCTTGTAGTAGGGCGCCATGAGCGCGCGCGGCGCGGGCGAGTGCGCCAGGCCGAGCGTGTGGCCGATTTCGTGCGCCAGCACCACGAACAGGTTGCGCCCGCGGCGGCGGCTCAGCGACCAGCGCTCGTCCCGGTCGAAGTGCGCTTCGCCCCGGCGAGGCAGGAAGGCGTGCGCCAGGGCGCCCCCTGCAGGCGGCGCGGGGGGTCAGGGGGAGCCACGGTCCGAGACCGCCCAGGTTCCCACCCCCAACGCAAATGCCACTGGGGTGTGTGCCTGTTTTCTGCTGCAGAATTTCCCTCCCTCCTTATTAGGTCTGGCAGAAGCTGAAGTGTGGAGCAGTGGTCGCATGGCTAGGCTGTGGGGTATGGATGCTAAGAGGCAGCGTGGGGTACATACAGCATGGGGTCAAACTGGGTTCCAATCCTGATTTTACCAGTTACCAGCTGTGTGACCGTGGGGAAGTATCTTATCCCCTCTGTGTCTTATCTTCCTGATCTGAAAATGGGAGTGATAATAATGAGGTTCTTCCTCACAGGGTTTTTCCCTGAGGATTAAAAAGGGATGCGTGTATCTGTGTGTGTTACATATAATAAATGCTACATAGGAATTATTTTCTCAAAGATCTAGGAGTAGGTACAGTGGTTACCCCAGAATGAAGCGTGATGGGACCATCTGGGGTGTTGGTAATATTGCTTCTTGATCTGGACGCTGGGTGTGTTGATGTGTATGTACAGTTTAATAAAAAATATATGTATTCTTGTGTTCTTGCCTTTCCGCTGCCAGGGCCCCTCTGTGGGTCTCTACCTCCCTGCTTGTAATAGGAGTGAGCAGAGGTTGGGCTGGATCAGTGATGCTCAAGTTTGTAGCTGCCCCAGATGGAGCTTGTCAGTCATACAGTTTCCAAGGCCCGGCCCTCACAATTCACTTTATTCAGGGGCAGTAAACTGCATTGGGATAATGTTGGCTTAGAAGCCTGTTGAGGGTCCTTCCAGTGTTGCCTTCTTGGAGTCCAGGCCAACTGGGACTGACAAAGGTCAGGAGACTAATGTTACAGGAGAGTCTCATAGGGCACGGAGAGGGGGCCATGTGTGGGAGGAATACATGCTCCCTGTTTTGAATGTGCTTTCAACTGTTTCGAGCAACATTAGCCTTTCCATTCAACTCTCACAATAATCTTGGGAGACAGATGGGCAGGTTTTTGACTAAACTCAACAAGACAAAGCACCTGTCCCACATCAGAGGGCTGACTCCCAGTCCAGTGCTGTTTTAACTACCAGACTCCACCTGGGGATGGATATAAACACCTCACATAGATATCGTGGATGAAATGAGTTACGTGCAAGCACATGTGTGTACTACATGTAGATTCTCGAAAGGCCTAGATTTCTCCCAGCCCCACCCTGGTCCCTGCAGCAGGGCCTTGCAGTGCTTTGCTCTGAGTGGGCTTGATAGAAAGCAGGAGTGTGCAAGGGAGTGGGGGCCCCAGTTCCCAGGCCACACAAGGGCTTAAGTGCCCATCTGAAGAGGTGATCAGGTATCCTGACTCCTTAGTGGGGAAGACTGCGAAGATGCAGAGATAGCTTGTACTCAGGCTTTGAAGGTCAGTGTTGGGCAGAATGGGAGGACGGCAGTTTAAATTACAGCCAGAAGCCTTCAGGTTGGGGGCAAACAGGAGGACCGTTTGGGCAGTGGGTATGTGAAGCGCTTCTGTGGCAGGTAGCAGGCAGAACGCCTCCTGCCTTGAGGCAGTGACAGTGACAGTGGATTGGGGGTGGGCAGGAGTAGGGTAGCGGTGGCCTCTGGATGTTTTTAGGACCTTAGTCTGGAGAACAGCCACTTCTGGGGAACAAGAGAGGCACGGGCTTGTCTAGAGGCAGGAGATGGATGTTGGGGCCTCAGAAGGCTCTCCCAGAATAGATAGTACTCTAGAGTTTGCAAAGCACTCTCCCTGCAGAACCGCATCTGACCATCCCAATGGCCATGTGGCACATAATAGGGCAGGGACCACTGTTCCCATTTGATAGAAGAAGAGACTGAGGGTGCTTTGGAGGGTGATGCAGCTTGGCCAAGGCCACAGGGAAAGCGAATGCTCCACTGCCCTCCACAGACTGACTGCCTCTCCTAGTTGGTTTCCCCTCCTGCCATGGGGAAGAGAGGCTCTGTTAGCACCTGGGCCATCGAAGGCATTGCTCAGCCCGTCGTTGTGGTCCCCTTGGAAGAAGGTGAGGCGGATGTCAGCAGGGCCTGTGGCTGGGGCCTCCCAGAACTCCAGCGCTGAGACGTTGCTCCACAGCTGGAAGGCAGCGCGCACCGCCCCTCGAACTGCTGGCTCAGGCAGGTGCTGGGGCCAGTTCACCAGGCGGTAGGAGAGGTGTTGCTTGTACCACTTGTTGCCTGCCACCCAGAGAGGCCACATCAGAGCCTGGGGCTGCTGCAGAGCCTGAGGCTGGTCCCAGGAACACTTATGATGGGGAGATAGGCCCTCCCCCAGGGAGCCCCTGATCTGGTGGAGAAGACATAGCCCTTGCTGTGGGAAGGCCCTCATTTGGCTGGGGACACTGCTCTCAGATAGACCTGTCTACCCTTGTCCTGGAGAGTCCCCAGTCTACTGGGTTGGACTAAGGATGTCCCTTAGGACCTTGGCCAAGCTGCATCGTCCTCCAGCATAGGATGGGGGAGATGCAGCCTCTGCCCAGGAAAAGCCACCCACCTGAAGGACCCTCTGGTCCGGGGCCTTCTTCCCCACAGCCTGGGCTGAGCCTGAAAGCCGCTCTGCGCCTCCTGCTGGCAGCAAATCCCAGCCCCTGCCTACTGTGCTGGGGTGGAGGAGAGGTGGGGCCACGGGGTCACAGCCCTGCCTGACCTCACCCCCTCCTCCTCCCACCCCTCCCACCCTCCGTTCTAGTGCCTGGGGCCTGTGCTGAGAAGCCGCCACAAGACCCGTTTATTCAGGGTCCCTCCCTGACCCCTCGCCCTCCCCCTCACTTCCTCAGGGACTCTGGAGATGAAAACAAATAAGAACAAAGGGTGTGTTTTGTCAGGGACCGAGAACAATTTTTCCATCTCCACTCAATTAAGCGTTTCTATTCCTTTGCCCAGAACCGCAGCAGTTCCTCCCTGAGGGCTGAGACGCCTCTGGCCTGAGACCCAGGTCAGCTAGTCTGGGTCCAGCTCCAGCTCACCACACACCCAGGACTAGGGTGCTTAGAAGGCCCACAGTCTGAGTTTTCCTGAGCTATTTCTGAGCCCTGCAAGCTCAGAGACTGACACTGTGACCCGGAATGGAAGACACAGCTTGGAGGCAGGACTCCCAGACTCAGGAGCACACAAAAATCATGTCTTTTGGGCCTCAGTTTCCCAAATGAACCAAATCCCTGGGGCATGGGTGACAAGTGGGCAGGGCAGGCCTGACCATCTAGGAGACCAGGTGACTGGGCACAGCCCCTTCTCCCCTTGGGGGGGGGGCAGTTAAAGGTTCAGCCCTCCTGCCCCTTTGTCCCAGGGAAGTCCTTGCCTGAACCAGGCAAGAGGAGTGAAGTCGTGGAGGCTCAGCTGTCTCCTATTCAACTGCTCCTCTAATTGAGGGATATGGGACCAGGAGAAGACCCCCCGCTAGGGTCACAGGCTGAGTAGTAGGAGCCCAGGCCTTGGCACCTAATTCAGTGTATTTTCCATGCCGCACAGATAAGCAGACACATTTGCAAAGACTAAATAAAGCCTTATAAATTTGCCTAAACATTGCTCCTGTGGGTCAAAGCAGGGGCTCTGCAAGAGCTAAAATTCTTGGAATGGAAGGCTGGGTCTTAGAGAGCAGAGGAGCTGAGCACCCTTCCCCTCCCCCCACCCTCCATGGAAGTGGGGGAGGGGAATGTCCCTTCTCCCACCCCTGAGCCAAGCTCCATTCAAGGCAATGCTGCCTCCCTGGGCCTGTTTGGCCTGGCAGCCACCCAACCCCTCCCAGTCAGTGACCAACCCTCAGGGAGGGAAGAGGGAAGGATTCTAAGGGAGGGGAGGCCTGGCGTCCAGAGGCGCTGCCACTAACACTTCTAGGGCATTTTAAATCTTCACTGGGCACTGGACTGGCTGGTGCTGGGCTCTTTCACACCCTGCTGTGGGTAACCAATCCCAGACTCCCCACCCGCAACCTTCAAGCTTCTAGGAAACTATGAGGTAGCTCCTTCGGCCTCTTTGTAGCTAGGGTACCCCTCACTTCAAAGGCAGGAAACAGGGAGGGTGGGCAATTCTCTCTCTCTTAGGTGGCCAGTGAAGATGGCAGCTGGCAGGATAAAAATCTTCTGAGAAATTGTGTGTTTGTTTCAGGGGAGATAGAGGGAGGTAATAGAGAGGACAACTAGGAAAAGGAATTGAGAGAAAATGACTTTCCTTGAGAGGGGAGCAGGGTGGTAGGTGGCTGGTGTGCCTGCCAGGAAGGAAGGAACTGCCCGTCCAGCAGCCTGAGCCTTGTCCCCTGTCTTCTTCCAGCTTTGGGTCCTTGGAGCAGGGTAGCCCCTTCAGGCCCCATCCCAAATGCCTGGCTGATCAAGGCTTGTTTCCATGGCAGTCCCCAGACCATAGTAGCACCTGGCACTGCACCCCACACCCTTGATCTAAAATCCAAAATGGGCCCTGGCTGGTGTGGCTCATTTGATTGGAGCATCATCCCATACACTGAAGGGTCTTGGGTTCGATTCCTGGTCAGGGCACATACCAGGGTTGTGGGTTCCATCCCTGGTTGGGGTGCATACAGGAGGCAACCGATCAATGTTTCCCTCTCATGTTGATGTTTCTCTCTCCCTCTCCCTTCCTCTCTCTCTCTAAAATCAATAAAAACATATCCTTGGGTGAGGATTTAAATAAATAAATCCAACAGGGAAGAGGAAAGGAAAAAGAGATGGGGAGGGAGGAGAGCTAGATTTCTTGCTTGGGGAGGACCCGGGCTAGAGTCCTGACTCCCAGTAGGCAACTGCTACTGTGGAAAGAACAAAGGTAGGAATCTCAGTACGTTTACTTACAACCTTACATAACAAATTATAGAATCCCTCCGTTTCCTTATTTGCAAAGTGGGGCTGATGAGACTCAACTCATGGGAGAAATGAAAGAGCAACCTGAAGCTGCCTGGCACGTGCTGGGTGCTCAGTAAGTATCCATTCCCTTCTTCCCTTTCCACCCCATTTCCACCCCTGTGCTCCCCACCCCTCTGTGAGGGGGCGGGGAGACTGAAAATCAGCCCTGCAGGTGCAGAGGGGAGCAGGCACTTGGAATGAGGTTGCCAGATTTAGCAAATGAGAATATAGGATGCCTGGTTAAATTTGAATTTCAGATCAACAACAAGTAATTATTTTAGTATAAGTACATAAAAACAAAATAATTATTTGTTGTTGATCTGAAATTGAAATTCAGCGGGAACCCTGTGTTTTATCTGGTGACCCCACCCTGGAGCCCAGCTCCCTCAGCACAGCATTCACCCACGTAATGGAAAGTCACTGGCATTGGGAAGCACCTACCCATATCCCGGGGTTTTCCACGTCTGAAATCTCACTTAATCCTCCCAGTGACAGGAAGGCTTGGCTACACTCTGGCTCTTTGGCCCTGGGACAGTTGCCTAAGCTCTTTGTCCATCAGTTTGCCCACCTGTAAATGATAATAATGGAAATAGGATTGTTATGGGAGTAAATGAGCTAATCTGTTTACAACTGTGCTTGGCACATCATAAGTGCTCAGTAAGTGTTAACTGTTATTATTACATTTTCTTTCCTAAGGCACAGGAAGTGCTCAGCGCCTGCCAAGACCACAGCTTCTTTCTAGGGACTATCTTCCCACCCAGGATGGAAAGGAAGTGAAGCCGCTGTGGGTCATGTTGTGACCAAGAGGGAAATTCTCTGTCTAACTTGGCCACTGCTGTCTGACCAGGGGTCAGTGTCAGATCATGAAGTGGGGCCAGGCTGGTGGGGTGAAGCCACCTGCTTGGGAGGTGCCTTAGGCTCCAAATTGGACAGTGACAAACAGAGACTCCATTAGATTCTCCCTTGGGGCATGAGAAGATGAGATGCTGCTGGAGGGAAGTATCCTGAGTGCTTAGGTCACGGCCTGCATTTCCAGGAGGCGCCACCCCAATTCTCTATGAAATCTAGCCTGGAAGTGTCACTGCTGAGTCTGTGTCTGGGGCTGCCTCAATTTCCACTGTATTCTCCCGTTTTTAAAAATTGATTTTTAAAAATCAATAAAAACTCATTTTTTTAAAAATTGATTTTAGAGAGAGAGGGAGAGAGAAACATCAATCGGTTGCCTCCCACAGGCACCCGGACCAGGGATCGAACCTACAACCTGGGCATGTGCCCTGACCAGGAACTGAGTCCAAAACCTTTCTGAGTACAAGACAATGCTCCAACCAAGTGAGCCACACTGGCCAGGGTGAGCCACTTCCCCTTGGTTATCAGGGCTCATCTCTTCTTTGCAACCTGAAAGGGCCTGTGTCTCAGATGAGGAAACAGAGCAAAGTGATCCAGCTCAGGTCACACAGCTGCACCCAGAGCCCCAGCTCTGGGACGTTGCTCTTCCTGCTCTACCAGGGCCTCCTGCGCGCATGCCTTGCCCTTCTCCTCTGCTGCCCAGAACACAGTGGCCAGTACTGGGGACCCAGGGTAGCTGGAAGTGTAGACACAGCTGCACTGGATTGGCGAACACCTGGAAATAGCCCTCCTCCAACAGCTGAGGGGAAATGCCCACAATTTCCTTTTGGATTAGCTAAGAAATAAAAACAAACTAGGTACCCGCCTCCTGTCCTGTTCCTAATGGACATTGTCAGTAAAAGTAGTCAACGCAAATTCAAAGAGGCAATAAGCCCAAAGGGCTCATGGGAAAGTTCATTACAGATGAAAAGCTGACTAAACAACCCCATTTTGTTAGAAATCTTGAAAATTGCAAAAATTGATCAGAGAAAATTAGACTTAATAAAAACAATCAAGATGTTAAATCACACACTGCAAAGCTTGTTATTGATGAACTGACAGAAGAACAAAATCTTTATGAATCTTAGATGAGTAAATTTGACCCTGGAAGATTAGATTTGGTCAAGGAAGGAGGAATAGGAGGAGAAGGGAAGGAAAAAACCCCACAAAACTAAATCATAACAGCAGGAAGTGCAATGTGTAAAATGTGTTATGATGAAATGTTCAGCACAGGCAAGTCCACAGAGACAGAAAGATTCATGGTTGCTAGGAGCTGGGGGGGGGAGGGGAGTGGGGAGGGCCTGCTAATGGGCATAGGGTTTCTGTCTGAGGTGATGAAAGTGTTCTGGAATTAGATCGTGGTGATGGTTGCACAATTCTGCAGATATGCTGAAAGCCACGGGATTGTACGCTTTCAATGGGTAAATTGTATGGTACGTGAATTATATTTCAACAAAGCTGTTAAAAATGTACTATGGACAAAATCGAATGGATCGATGAATCACATCTCTGTTGAATAATTCTTATGAAAAAGAACCGATTCTGATGAAAATAACTCCAGTAAAATATAAAGAAATCTGTTGGCAACAGTTTAACTGCCCTGCATAGCAAACTGATCAAGAAATTAAGTAGGCCCAATGGGGTTTACTCTGGAAAATACTTGCACAGTGAAAATTCATCAATGCAGGTATCATTCGGATTTAAATGTCTGCGTTTACAAGCAGGATCCTGAAGTCTGAGAGGCTCTATTTGTCCATTGCGCTCCCCTCCCCGCCCTAGGGAAAAGGTTACTGAAAAGCCCAGCCCAAGGCTGAGCCCTTTTCCTGATGGGGCTTCAGGATGGTGGGGAATCCTATCCTAGCTAGATTTTCACAGTGCTCACCTTGCTTTGCAAAGCGTTTCTTACGCCTCATTTTGGCGCGACGTCCAGCAAACAGGGCACTGACCCTCTCGGTCCAGGCTGCCTGACTGTCAGTATCTGCAACCCCACAGCGGGGCAGTGTCATCTGGTGGAGGGTGGCAGTGTCCAACATGCCACTGATGGGCAGCTGGGACACCCACTGGAACTCCCTGTCAGGAGGAATTGAGATAAAGGACCACAAAGGGAGGGTTGGTGTTGGGGGTGAAAACGGGGAGCTTCCCTGGAGACAGCAGGAGGCTGCAGTGAGGTAAGAGAAGAAACAATGGAGCATGACCCCCTGGACATACATGAGGGGCAGCCTTCCCCCAGGAGGGAGGAGGTGACCCAAGCTTGTATCCCAGCACCCCCAAGTCCTCCATCCTACCTGATGGCACTGCTGAATCTCGTGGAGGAAGGAGCTTTGGAGACCTGTTCACCGAGATATCCATACCTCTCCAGGAAGGCCTGGGGGAGAAAGGAACATCAGCTTTTCCCACTTGTGTGGCATCCTTTCCCTTCCCTTGGTTTCCAAGCATCCATGGCACATACATCATACCTGGTCTCACCCCTTGTCCCAACAGGGTCTATGAGCAAGAGCAGAAGGACCTGGACTTAGTCTCAGGCTACCAACAACTAGCTGGATGGTCATGGGTAAGTTGCTCAATATTTCTGAACCTTAGCTTCTTTATTTCTAAAACTGGCCAAGCAGTCCCAACCCTGAGTATCTCGTGGCATTGTCAGGAAGCTAGCAGGAGAGTGGACAGTAGAGTCTGGGTTCTGGAGTCAGGCCTGCCTGGGTTTGAATCTCAGTTAGCAAGCTACTTCCCTAAGCCACTGTTTCTCCAATTATAACATAGGCTTAGAAATAGAACCTACTTTACAGGTTGTGTGTGTGTGTGTGTGTGTGTGTAGTATGTGTGTGTGTGTGAGAGAGAGAGAGAGAGAATTAATCACGATAGTAAATACAAAGTACTTAGCACAGCACCTATCGCCTAGTAGGGGCTCCATACAGAGTAGCTATTATAATTTTATGTAAATATACACTATTCATGTACCTCAGCCCTTCTCCTGACACATCTCATCTCTTTAGGAAAATTTTTCATACGGATCAGGGGTTTAGCTGTTTGCCTGCAGGCTCTGCCAAGTATGGATTGGGAATTCATTATCTAATTCTGGCTACTTCTTAAACAATTCTCCTCCCCCCAAATGCAGATGTATTTAAGGCTGGAGAACAACAAATGCCCTTACCTTCAACCCTAGGGTTTATTTATATAAAAACTTAACTCTCTGGAGAAGTACTTTTTGAATTTGAAACCTGCAACTTCCTTTCATTCATTGGGTTGATAATTCATAAAATGTACTAGGTACCCTGCCAGGTTCAATGGTCACCCAGACACCCCTAAAGGAACCTATATGTATGCTTGTGGACAGAGACAGACAATAAAAACACAGATAACAAATTAGTAAAGGAGAGGGTTTGATGCTATAGGAGAGAAACCAGGTGATGTGATTGAGAATAACTTAGAAACTTTACATGAGTAGGTCAGGGGAGGACCCTCTAAGGAGCTGGTATTTGATGTGAGTCCCAAAGACAGAAGTAACAGCCACGCACTGAGGTGGGAGATGGGCTTCCAGGCAGGGGGAGCAGTAAATGCAAAGGCTGAGCTAGGAATGACGTTGCATGTTTAAGGAACAGAAGGAAGGCTGGAGTGGTGAGTGTGAAACAGCAGGGCATGAGAGACTATCAGCCAGGGTAAGAAATGTGAGTTTCATTTTCATCGTCATGATGGATTCAAGGTGGGGAATGAAAGAAAGGGAGAAATCCAGGATGGCTCCTAAATTTTTGCCTTGGAAGATGAAGCCATTTACTATATGAGGAAGCCTGAAAAAGGAACAGATGGGGGGCTGCAATTAAGATGAACTCTAGCCCCAGCCGGTTTGGCTCAGGGGTTAGAGCGTCAGCCCCCAGACTGAAGGGTCCTGGGTTTGATTCCGGCCACGGGCATGTACCTCGATGTGTCTCTCTCACATAGATGTCTCTCTCTCTCTTTCCCCTTTCCACTCTCTCTGAAAAAGCAATGGAAAAAATATTCTCAGGTGAGGATTAAATAAAAAAAAAAAAAAAGATAAACTCTGATGATGTCAAGTGGCACTGGCTGTGTGGTCCTGGAGCTCAGGGGAGAAGCTGGAATCTCAGCATGTAGAAGCTGTGAATCTGGATGAGATCCCCCAGGGAAATTAGTGTAACAAGAACATCTCATCCCCCAAGTGCCTTTTACTTACTCACTGCAAATGCCTTTGACTCCCTGCCTGCCCTCACATACCTGGAAGCTGCTCTCTCAGCAACCAAGTCCTTGAAAGCCAGTGGAGAGAAGTGTCTGAGTCACAGTCCTTACCTATCACCAGTCCTATCCCGCGGGGGAGTCACTATACTTGGCTCCCTGCTTGCCCTTCTCGCTAATAAAGGCCCATGAATGGATTCTTTAAAATGTCACCAGCTGCTTAATTCTCATGCAGACACACATCATCTCTTAATTTTTACCCTTCCTTGCTGTTACCTATACAGGAATAATTTCCTGTCTTCCTTTCTGTCTTACTCACTTTTGTTTGCTGCACTTTTTAAAAATCCTTACCAGAGGATATATTTATTGATTTTTAGAGAGAGAGGGAGGGAGAGGTGAGAGAGAAACATCTATTCGTTGCCTCCCATATGTGCCCCAACTAGGATTGAACCTGAAGCCTTTTGGTGTACGGGACGACAGCAAGGACCTCTGCTGCATTTCTTAACTCAGATCAACTCCTATCTCAGCTGATGCCTCAAGAAAAAGGCACATAATGGGAATGAAACTAGACACTGAGCCGGGATCTCAAGCCCCTAAGCCTTTGCAAGTATCCAGCCTCCTCTTTGTGGATTTCATTACATCCACTGTTAGGGACATCCATGTTCTCTTCTCAATAAAGCTGCTTTCCATAAGGAACCCTTATTCCAGACAACAGAACACCACCCAAGTCTGCTTTATTGTTTTTCTGCACTAATGTATTAGAATTTCAGCACTATGGTTTTCTTTTTTCCCTTTGCACATGTGCACTATTTTGGGATGCGTAATGGATTAAAGGAGTTCTAGTAGCTTAATCTGGAAGACTATTACTGCTCAAAATAGTGTGGCATTGTGGAAGAGCCACTGGGCTTGGAATTCAGAATCTATTCCCAAACCTGACCCTGCTGGGTGGCCAGGGACAAATTACTTAACCTCTCTGGGCCTCCATTTCCTCACCCACAATGTGAAAACAAGAGTAACCCCCACAGGATTCTCAGAAGGATTAAATAAAGCAACGCGCATGGAGCATAGTGCCTTGTATATAGTAAATGTTCAATGAACAGTTGATCTAGCTGATTTAACTTACAGGGAAAGCTGACAACAGACTCTTAGAATGCAACCCATCTGTAAGACGGAAACTGCTTTGAATAGGGCAGTTACACCTCTGTTCTCAATTCAGGTGCTCTGTCCCAGAATTGCCTCACCCCAGCCAGGTGCCTGGTGAGGACAGAGAGTGGCTTTTTTAAGGGAAGCCAGGGAATTAATGACTCCATAGAAGCAGATGAGTGATTTGGAAGAGGCTGGGTCATAGGCCAAGGCTGGCACTCCCTGTGCCCCTTCCCCCAAAACCACCCAGCCCTTATCAGGGAGTTGGCTCCAGCTCTGGAACTATAAAACCTTGGACTGGGGGGAGGAGGGAGGGGAAATTGACCAGCGGCGGCGTCTCCTGTTTCCTGGCTGGGCCTGTGCCTGGTACTTTGGCAGACAAGGTGGGGTGGAGGGCAGGATGGGGGTGGAGGTCTTTTCTAGGGGTCCATCAGAGGGGAAGTCCTGGGAAGTCCTTTCTCCTGACTCGTCTCTGGGACCCTGTGGGCTGCAAGGCATAGCTGAATTCCTGGGAGACAGTGAGCACATGTTCACGACACCAGCCAAGAGACACGAAAAGAATGAGAAAAAGAAATCTTAAAAATTTGACATTTTATATTTCCATAAAAGCACTGAAGTGTTATTATGGAGATGATCAGGACTTAAGAACTCCCTTATACTTATTTTGTGTTTAATATACCTATAATCTAAACATTTTCAATTACAAGGAAGGGTCCCCTGAATACTGTCAGAGCTGACTGCTCTAAAGTTCTGTCAGCCAGGGCAGACCTATGTCCCTGGTGAAGAGAAGGCAGGGTTGAGACATCTCTGCCCCTGAAGCTGTTCCTAACCCTCTCCTGTAAGTCCATTTGCTGTGTCTCCTCGGTTTTCCCCTGCGAAGGTGAGAGAAACATCCTGTCTGCGTCAGAGCAGGGTGTAGGGCAGGGGACAGTGTGGCAAAGGGATCCTGGGAAAAGAGGCAGGACCAAGAGAGGGAGCTCTCGTTTTCATCTCAGCAGGACACTAGCTGCCTTGGAGTCATTTCCCTTCCAGGCTGCAGTTTCCTGGGGGCCTGTGTCCTCTCAGCGGCTCTCTGAGCTCCACCTGTGGCCTCCCTGTCCCCCTTCATGGAGGTAGTGCTTGAGCTGCTTCTCTCTGCCATGCAATTAAAACACCAGTTTTTCTTTCTTCCCTGTTCTCCACGCATCTCTCACAGGGAGCTCAAGGCTTGAGCTGAATGGAGAGAAAGCCAGAGGGCTGTGCCCCTTCGGTGATTCACCCTGTTTGGGCTTAAAAGCTGGTGCCAACCTGCCTCACCCACTTGGTCACGGCTGGGGCCACTTTCCTGGGGAGTCACCTCTGAAAAGCCCTGGGAGTGGCTGGGAGTGTTTGGGTAAAACAAAAATGGTTCTCCCTGGGATCCAGAAAGCTGAGTGGAATCAGAGCTCTGGGGGTTCTAGTCCTGCATCAGTCCTGACTTGTCATGTGAGGGTGTGTGGAGCCCAGCCCATTTGATGCCCAAGGGTAGGGGAAATTCTGGCCATTTCTGAGCAGGGCAAGACTAGCAATAAGGTGTAGCAAAATGAATCCAGGCCTGAGTCAGGAACTCTGAGTCACTGACCAGGCAGACAAGAATCCTGGACTGAGTGTCCTAAGTGTTTTCCTGGGGCTGCTGCTAGCTGTGTGTCCTTAGGAAAGCGCTGCACCTCTTTGGGCCTTAGTTTCCTCTTCTGCAAAATGAGGGGGTTGGATTAGAGCTAAGATATACTCCACGTAGGTCTATTATTGTAACTTTGCTTCTGCAGCTGATTAGCTGTGTGAACAATGACAGTTACTTAACTTCTCTGTGCCCCAAAGTATGAAACAGGGGTAAGAATACTGCTTATGTTCCTTATAGGGGCATTGTGAAAATCCAGTAAGAAGATGCTTTGGGAAAGCTTTGTGATAACTATCCCATTAAAAACATTATTTTTGCTTGGCTGGCATGCTCAGTGGTTGAGCATTAACCTGTGATCAATGACCCTCTCATCACTGATGTTTCTATCTCTCTCTTCCTCTCCC